AAATTGATAACCTCCTCTCCTGTTTCTCTTCAGAAAATGGAAGGCCTCCCATGGATATCAGCCAGCCATTGTATATAATGTTGCAGTGAGACTAGGCACCTCTTCTTTTATTAATGTTAGATGAAGCAATCCAGTAGGAAGAATGGGTCCCGAAAGTAGGCAACAGAGTCAGGGTTAGCCCCTGCTCTCACTGTAAGGAGTCCCATAAGATCAAGATACACAGCTGTAATAGATATGCATAGGTTCTACGTTAGTCTCATGCAGGCTCCCTGGTTGTTGGTTCATTAATTTTTTTAGAGGTCACATCTAGGATGTTGTGAAAGAACTTTCTTCCTAGGTTTTCTTTGTCAGGTTTTGCTAATAATAACTTTCTGGTCTGAGAAACTATGTTGGACTATATTTCCTCTTTCTCTAGGTTCGTAATGTCTTTATTTCAAATACACAAACATTTGGAAAAAGTCACCAGCTTCCAGAAACAGAATTTCCAAAGGGGAACATTTCTAGTGACAGTGTGTTCAATATGGAGGAAGTCACTCAGATTTTGTATTTATTGGACAATCAAGGGATCTGTCCATTTTATGTACAGCTCCTAATTTGAGGTATAAAATTGTTCATAGTGCTCTGCTGTTAATATATTTTTTAGTGAATGTCGGGAGGCTGGAAACGTTCCTCTGTGGTTAGGAGCATGCACTGCTCTTACTGAGGACCTGAGTTCAGTTCCCAGCACCCAGAGCATGTAGCTCACAAACACCTATAACTCCAGCTCCAGTGTCCACTCTGGCCTCCATAGGCAACATACACACATGAAATAAAAACACACAAATACATATACATATACATAAATACAACACAATAAACCTTTAAGAAAATAAAGTGAATGTATGGTTGTACATACCGGGAACCAAGGCAGAAGAACAGCAGTTTTGAGACCAGTCTTGTTGGGTTTACAAACCTACATCACTATACCCAGCTTTCATTTATAATTGTTAGTTTATATTTTAAATTGTTTTATTTATTTCTTGGGTGTGGGGAAGACACCAAGGACTTAGGTGGAGGTCAGTGAACAAGTTGTAGGAGTCAGTTTTCTCCTTGCCCTATTCCTGATGATTGAAAATAGGATGTCAGGCTTGGTGGCAAGTACCTTTATTGGCCAAGCCATCTCACTGGCCCTATTTTATTTACTTATTCTTTGAGACATGATTTCTCTATGTAGCTCTGGATAATTTTGAACTCACTATTAGACCAGCTGGCCTCAGACTGAGAGAGACCTGCCTGTCTCTACCTCCTAAGTGCTGAGATTGAAGGCATCACCACCATGCCTGGCCTGTTTATTTTAAAACAGTGTCACATGTGTTCCAGGCTGGCCTCTTACTACTGTGCTATGTAGGTGAAGATGACATTGACTTCTTGATTCTCCTGTCCACACCTTCATAGTGCTGGGATTTCAGGTGTGTACCTCCACCCTGGCCTTTGGTGGTTAATTTGTGAATCATGTCTCACTCTGTAGCCCAGGCTGGCATGAAATTCACTAGGTATGCCAAGATAATCAGATAACAAAGGCAATTCTCCTGCCTCAGCCTCCCAGGGCATGGGCTCATGGATCTGCACAACCAAGCCTGTAAATTTTCTCATTTCACAGCTTTGAAGAGTGATGTCATTAAAATTAGTACTCAGTGTGAAACCATTCCCTTCTATTTAGTTTCTCATTTCACGTGATTATTGAGAAATTTGCTTTATTTCCAAAATGTATGATGTTAGTTAAAATACAGTCAGGTGCCCAAAAGTTCACAGAACCCCTTGGATGTGTCTGTTAGGTCTCCCAGCAG